CTCTGGGGGAGCCTATGACAGGGAGCTGCTGGCAAGTCGTGCCAGCCCCCACCCCTTCGCAGGGAGGAAGCTTCGCTCCCTGAGGACCTGGAGGTGGGTACCGAGGCCCGCTGTGGCTAGCTCGTCTTCCAGTCTTGAGGTCTTCTCTGAGGACTGGAGTGCAGAAGAGCTGCACTGGGAACTAGAGGCATCTCCATTTAGGCTCCCAGGTCTCCCAAGCCAGGTTACATAAGGAGGCAAGCTGGCTCCTCTAGGTAACCAGCCCCTCCTCTCCTGCCAAGCCCAGTTTACAAGTCTCTCTTCTGCCCCTTCCCAATAAGGGGGTGAGGGCATTGGGCTTTACAGCCGCCACCCCTGGATCCTAGGGTGTTAGAACCAGGCTTTGCCTGGGTGGGTGGGAGGAGTAGGTTGGGAGGAGCAGAGAAGTCGGGGAGACCTTGGCTCTTCTGCATGGGCCTTCCACACAACTGGACATTGAGAGGCTGGTGGGAGGGAGAGCAACAGACCTCTTCTTGAATCAGCCTCACTTGCAAGCCTGCCTGACCCTCTTCCAGTGACCTGCCCCTCCCTACTGGTATCCAAGACAATGGGCTTTGGCCTGACCACCTGTCCTCAGGTGTGTCTCTCAAAAAAGGGTTTGCAGGGCCCTCCCTGGTGGCACAGCAGGTTAAAGCACAGCGCTGGGAAGCTAAAGCCACTACTGCATGAGTTTGATCCCCGGCACCGGAGGTGACCCACATGGCCCACCCGCTGCTCTGCCCTCTGCTCCCCTCAGCAGTGTACTCCATCCATTTGCCTGTTCTGCTCCCCACTCTGCCTCTGGTGAATCCTCTCACTGCCCCTGCACCTCTGGCCTGTACCCCAATTCTGTATGCATAAATAAACGAATCTTTAAAAAAAAAAAAAGGGGATTTGCAGACGTGTAGGTGTGTATACATACCCAGATTTAAATAGCCACGGATTCTCCTCAGGGTGGTAGCTCCAGAAAATCAGAAACTGAGGTTTTGAACTGTGATTGGGTGCCTGCTTGTCCTTTAAGATTTGCTGTGAACTGTGCTCCTATATCATCTCCCTTACCCCAACTTCTTTTCCCTGAGGGTTTTTTTAAACACCTCCCATTGCTTTCATCTTTCCAGCAAATCTGGCTGCCACTTGAACGGATGCCTTATCTTCCTTTGCAGGTTTCTAGAGGAGAGTTTAACTAGGTATCAGGTGTGAATATGGCTCTGGTTTTATATAAACCTGAGGACCAGAGAAGAGAAGCAAGATCTATTCTCCTGCCTCTGGCTGCTTAGGGTTTTGCCTTGTTTAAAACAGAGAGGACCGGCTTCTCAAAGACTCTTCTGTTCCCCTTCTACTTTGGCTTTGGTTCAGAATTGCAGGCAGCTCCAGAATCTTCCTGAAGAGCAGGGTGCTGGGAGATCTGAAGGCCTGGTTGGAAGCACGGGTGTGGAAGCCCCCGGCCTTGCTCCTGGGCTGGCGGTAGCCACCTCCGAGGATATGTGTTGTGTAGTGGCAGTGCCCTAGGGAAGGGCTGGGCGGGAGCTCACCCCTCTCCGTCTAACTTCTGCAACCACGAGCTCTGTTGTCTCCCCCACCTGTCTGCAGGATGCGTGGGCATCTTTTCCAACCTGCAGAGAGCCCTTGGCAGGATGGGACCGGCCTGGCTCTCCAGGCCTTGTTTGTCGTGGGGCAGCTGGTGTTGCTATGGGCCGTCTCTCGGCCCGGTGTCTCCGTTTCCAGTGCCACCCGGCCCTGGAGCTGGCGAGCGGGCCCAGCGTGGGCTCTTGGCTGGCGGGCTGTGTCCATCCAGCCCCAGCTCAACTGGAGCCCTCAGAGCCAGGGCCGAGGGCAAGCTACATTCTCTTCTGCTTTCTGCTGCAGGATGCAGTTTGCTTTTTTCCATGTGCATGAATTATGTTTGAAACCGAAATGGGAGGAAGAGAAAAATAGAGTGAGTGTGTATGGGTATGTGTATGCATACCTATATAGGCAGGGGGAGAGCAGCGGGCACATTACTTTTCCATTTTCCTTTAATTAAGGCTCTGTGGAGGTGTGTTTGAAAACAGAGGGTCTCCTATGCCTTTGAGGAGGGTGAGAACACTGTTTTGGCTGCGTCCCGGGCCATATGCAGCGTATGGTGGCCAATGAAATTGGGCCTGGCTCATTCTGTTGCTTGTCTTGGCAGTCGGTTCCGTGGCTTGTGTTACCAGCTCTGGAACTTACGGGCTGCCAAGCTCCGTGTGCCTGTGTGTGTGCACGCGCTTGTGCAGGCACCGCTCTGTGCGTGTGTGGTTTGGACTCTTGGATCTCAGCAGAGACAAATGCCTTCCACCCAGGCTTGGACTTTGCAGTTTGTGTGTCTTTGCACTCGTTGCTAACTGTGGGAAGCCCGGCCACAGTCCACCCTTCTGGGGGTTCTCTTAGTCTGTTTTCTTCTTGCTACAGCAAGAAGGGGATTCTAGCTGTGGAGCTCCATTTCCAAAGCTTACCTGGGCAGTGGCATTTTCTTATCAAAGGTCTGGGCATTTATCAGACATGGTGTGGAAGTCTGTTATGTAGCGTGGACTCCTGACAGCCAGGAAGGGATGGAGTGAGGGGGGCAGAAAGGATAGAAAGCCAGCCCTGTGCTTGTGCCTTCCAAGCTGCTGCGCACTGCTTGAGGTAAAGGTCCCGGCAGACATGGCTTCATGTGGATTTGATGTGCACCTCCACTAGGCAGGGAAGAAAGCTGTGTTTACAGGCCGGGTCTTGCCAAAAGACTTCCTCTGGTCTCCAGTCAGGAGCAGTAGGCCCTGGAGAGAGCATCCCGTTCCTTCTTTGGCTGGGATGGCTATGCAGGAGTCTGCTATGCCAGTGTGCGGTGCCAGTGACTTCTCCTGACCCTTCCCAGGCCCCTTTTTCTTCTCAGAAGGTCTGAGGAGCAGCCCCTTCTTCTAAGCAGCACAGAAATATTGAAGGACACAGAATGTGCAGTCCTCAGCTTCTGGGACAGAGACCCAGCCAGCTGGTGCCACCTTGTTGCCAGTGGTATGTGCTGTGTTCTGGGCTGCAGGAGACTGTAGGGGAAACTGAGTCAAAGGGTGTGTGCCTGACCTCATTTCTACACACCTTTGTATTGGCCCTGACCTGGCTCTGTTGTGTCTACTCTACAGTAATTATGTGGATGCAGGTTGGTGGTCCCTTGAGGGTTCAAAGCAGGAAGGTGGGAGGTCAGAGAAGCCTCTGGGGAGAAGCCTCATTATGGCCAAAGAGGCATGGCAGATGAGGGTTGGGTGGGACTATACAGAAGGGCGCCCTCCCCCAGGAAGGAAAGTCCTTGGGGCTGAGCTGGCTCACCCTCAGAGCAGATGCTGTTCCAGGTTCTCTCCAAGTAGTAACTAATTTAATCTTCTTGGCATCCTGACAGAGTAATAACATTATTATTCTTACTTTATAGCTAAGGATAGCAAGGCACAGAGAGGTTAGGGAATTTGTCCAAGGTCACACAGCTCTTAAGGGGCAGGATTAGGATTCACACTCAAACCATCTGGCTCAAAAGCTCTCACTCTTACCAGCCTCAGCCTTGTGCCTGCAGAGCTGGAAGAGCCCCTGGAGAGGGACACTGTGCTACTAGTTTTCAGTTCTAGTGCTTTCTCCATCCTCTTGCTCCTGGCTTTCCAGATCTTGTCTTTTGCAAGCTGATGGAAGACATCGTTTCAGATTCTGACAGATAATCCCAGGTGACTCTTTTGCCCCCAGAACAGGTTTGGTGTTTAATTCTCCACAGTTTATGATAGTTGGTATTCTGCAGTATGGCCACTGGCCTGGACTTCTGCCGTCCACATTTTCCTCCTGGGCATCTTCCCAGGGCTAACACCTCCTATCACCTCCTAGGTCCTTTAGCCCATTCTTAGTTGGAGGCTACTTGCTCTTGACCAGTGCACACCACTGGTGTGCCTGGGGCCTGGCCGAGTGAACCCCCTTGCTCCTTGACCTGCTCTAGCTCACCTACACTTCCTCTTAGCACTGAGCCTACAGCCTCAGGCTGTACCCACATGCACGTGCTGGGCTTCTGAGCCAGCCCAGGCCTGCTATTTGCCTGAGGGGAGCTAACCTCTACCAGGCCCAGGAATAGATAGCCTCCCTTTGACTTGGGTTTCTGTGAACAGAAAGTTCACGATGCAGTTCCTAGCTGTCATTGAACATGTTTCTTTTTCTTTTAACATATCTTTGCCATTCTAGATGAAAATGCCGATTGTTGGGTGCTTTCTAGCAAGAATACCCCTTTACAGGTTTGAGCCAACGAAGCACAACTTTTAGGTACTTACAGACAACGTCTGTTTAACGAAAAAGAGTCACGGTACCTTGACTTTGTGTGTATGATTTGCGTGCAGTGGCCCAGAGAAGAAAATAAGAGGGAAAAGCTTAACATCTTCTACCTTTTCTTCTTTTGGCTGCAATGATTCTTCATCCTGATACCTCAAGAGGGCCTATTTTCTGCACCCAAAGATTCTGTGGCTTTTCATCTGCTGATACAAGGCAGCCCCTAAACTCTGCTTCACAGTCCCTGAGGACATCATAGGAAATTGCTGCAGAGAGCAGGTCTTCTCTTCAGATTCTGCTTTCAATCAAGTGGTCTCTTCTGCCGTCAATTCCACTTTTAGAGAATTGCATCAGATCACCCGTAACCTTAGGCTCAACAGGTTGGAGCCTCGCAGGTGAAGTCCACTGTGCCCTCCTGAGCGACTTCTGTCTTGTTCATGTCTTGCTTGTCCCATGCTGGATCTGTGCATTACCCAGTTTTTCTGCCTTGGTTGGCTTCCAAGTTATTCCTGGTCAGTGGATCAAATTGCCAAAGTCATTTTGGATTCTGGGCCTATCTTTTGAGGTACAAGCCCCACTTGCCAATTTTAGTATTTGGCCAGTGTATAGAGTTTGCTCTTTGTTTATGCGTCCCAGTTACTAATGGAGATGTGGAGGGTGTTTATCTTCCTTCTGGATCTCCTGAGCCCTGAGGGGAAAAAACTCTGGGTTCTTACCCTACAGCTTTTAGTGTGTAGTTCTCCCTTTCCTACTAAATTGTTTCCGTATGGAACAACCAGTTGGGGAGATGATTTCACCTCTTGTCATCTTTCCTATGTCTTCCTTGAAGTGGGTAAATTCCTCCTGACTCTTATTTCGTACCCTCCCTTTTTTTCATAGATCCCTAAATCACATCAAATTCTTTTATTTTTCAAGTCCCCAGCATGGCCTTTCCAGTTAATGAGGATCCAATTATGAAAGGCAGCTGCTCCAGCTTCTCCATCTTCTACCCCGCCCCCAGCCGTTTGAGATGACTTCTCGCTGGTGAATGTCAGCTGCTGTGGCTGTCTCCTAGGAATGGCATGTGTTAAGGACTTTGTGGTTTGTATCTGAGCAGTTAGGGGTGCCCCTCCGGGGGAAAGAAAGACAGGAGAATTTTTGCTTCTACAAAGGAAAACCTAGTGCTTGATCCCGTGTGCGCTTCGTCACTGGGATGGGTTCATGGTGTACTAGGAATGGCAAGAATTTATGGAGCTGCTGCTTCCAGGGGATGGCTACCCGTGGGGAGGGGTTCCACAGTAGCAGGGAATTCATTATATTTGGGGATCATTTGTTAGTGTCTCATTTATACCATCTGTATGAAAATAAACAGAAGCTGCATACAGAGCCTATCATTCCTGGAACTGAAAGGGGTCTGGCTTCCATCTCCCAAGGATGGCGTAGGCAAGGAAACATACCGGAGCTGCTGGAATATTTTTCTTGGGGTCTACAGTGAGAGCAGAACACCTGGAGGTGGAAAATATGGCCCCCTAAAATCGATACCGCGATCCTAGACCCGAACCTCGCTCACTGAAGTAGACTCCTCCATGAATTTTTCATTCACTCATTCAACAAATGTGTGTTGATTACTGTTTCTGTGCCAAGAATGATGCCAGGCCCGGAGGTCTCCTAGAGGCAACAGCCATCCATGGAGACCTCCACTTGCTACCTGGCCACATGCAACCATTCTGTGCACAAGCAGGGGTCCTTGCAGCACAGGGAGATTTTGGAACCTCTGGCTGAGGAGGGGATTTCACTCTGTATTTTTGCTTTGTTCCATCCCTGAGGGCTGGCACCTCCTCCCCTATTTGAAGTTGTGTCCAACTGAGGCATCAGACACAGCATTTTCCAGCACCCCACCTCAGGTCCATTGGACGAGCTCAGTCAAGCATCTCCTTTGGGGCTACCGACTGGATCAGTTCAGGTCCAGGAGAAGGGGTCTTGTAGGGTTTTCTCCTTTTCTGAGAAGGAGATGTGAGTTTCCTTTGTCAGTTTGGTCTAGGTGGCCTGAGATCACCCCCCGGTGCCTGCCGGTGTCACATGGTGCGCCAGGCCCCGTCTTGTCACAGAGGCGTGAGTGCTTACACGGCCCCTTTCTTCATCTTCCTGGAAGAGGCCCAGGAGACATGCAGCACTCCATCAGGCAGGGCAGACCCAGCTCTGCTGCCCCTGACCCTGGCTCAGCTCAGGTTTAGGGGGGATCACAGCACATTAACCTGCCATATGGGAGAAGTCTCTGGGCCATTTCTGTGTCCGGACCCCCATCCCAGCCGCCCAGGGTTTTGTAGGGAACTTCCAAACCCAGGTCTCCGTGGGAGGCAGAGTGGAGTTCCTGTGTGAAGAGACTGATTCTGCCTGATGGGCTAGTGCCTGGAAGCCCAGCACAGGTCACGCCTTCTGCGTTAACACCTCCTGGACCCCAGGCCAGGAAACCCAAATGGGAGGGCAAGAAAGCTTTGACTCTCAAATCCAGGGGCCGGGAGTCTACCCTGGCTGTCTTCTTGCTGCATGACTTTGGGCAAGTCATTTAACCTCTGAGCGTCAATTTCCTCATGTGCAAAATGAGGATGTGGTTTATACGAGCACAGGGCCTCCTCCAACTCTAAGACTCACTCGATGTGAATGAGTCTCAGATCCTTTTCTGAGCTGGCCTGGGGGACAGTCGGTGCTCAGGAGGGTGAGAAAGGATGTGGGGTGGGAGGAAGAACAGATGGGGCTCAGGCAAAAGAGCCTGGGAAACCCAGGGTAAACTTGGTTGCAAGGCCAGGGCGCAGTGCAAGTGGCTTCAAGAGCAGGCGTGGCCCGTGAGCTGAGGAGGAGATGGCAGGGCCACTGTCCACTCAGAGCACTTTTCTTCAAAGAAAGTGACATCCTGTGGAAGCTTCTGTGGCTTGAGGAAACATATCACTCATATGCCCTCCCTGCCATCCCCCAGAGTGCAGAATCTATTGAGAAAGAGACACAGGAGTGGCCGCAGCTCACCGTGGAGAGTGAACTGGAGGTGGAGAAAGCGACGTGGGTTTAGGACCAAATAGGTGCCCTCAGATGCCTCTCCCTTGATACTGAGACCTGAGACTGGAGCAAGGGGTTGTGGGCTACCCTCCAGGGCCGCTCTGTAGGAGGCAGAGAGCCCAGACAGCAGGCTATCTCAGGTTGCCTCTGCCCCCAGAGACGCCTGGGGCCATGGACAGCAAGCTGCCCTGGTCTCATCTCCCAGATGTGCCTGAGGGAGGGGGGGGGCAGATAAGGTTGGAGCATAGGTCAAAACTTCTCCCCAGGATTTACAAGACAGTTGGCTTTGGTTTTGTACTTTCATGCAGAGGTGGAAAGGGGAGCCATTCCTTTTCAGGACTGGAACCCCCAGGATCAGCTTTGTGCTAAAATGCTACTCAGAAGACTGCTTAGAAGCTAAGCCTGGGCACATCTGACCTTCTGTGTGCTCAGTATCTGGGGGCTCTTAGTAGGTGGTGAACGGTCAGATGGATGGGTGGGTGGGTGGATGGGAAGAAGCCCTGTAAGAGACCAGTCAAGTCTGACTTTATCGATAGACAGGCTTTCTTCACTGTCATCTGTGCGTTGAAAAGAACATCTCTTACCCAGGAGCTTCCCCAGTAAAGAGAAGGAAGAAATAAGAATCCTCTTGGTATTGACCTGTCTGAATTGTGTCTTTCCTTAAGCCCTGAATCGGTTTTCCCTTGCAAGCCTTCTGGGTTTGTCAGAGCCAGAACATGTGTTTGCTTTGAGAACGGAGGGACCGGGGCGGGCTTCTCTGGTCCTGGGCTCCAATGGGGAAGCACATGCTAATTAATTCCACCTTGACACACACACACACACACACACCCCTTTAACTCAGATGTGCTTCATCTTGTATTCTGGGTGTCTTGACAAGTATGCAGAATGGGATGTGTAATTTGAGGGGCGGCACCACGCCAGACCAAAAATAACTCCCTCTTAAACAGGTGCAAAGGTGCTTGAGATTCCACCATTAGGATCCATTCCTTCCAGGGCACAGTGCTCAATCCTGCTCCACCAGCTCTAACTATGCACTATCTTGAGTGAGTTACTGCTCTAAGCCTCAATTTCTCCCTCTGTGTAAGGGGCTCTGACCCAGCCTTAGGGCCTAGTGGCTGGGGCCCTGCAGTGCCAGTGCAGCCAGGCGTGGGTTAAGCGCTACGTGCCCAGGCTCCCCTTGGCGTGATGAGTTGATCAAGTTTTCCTCTACAATGGCAGAGACTCAAGGGCAGGAGGAGCACCCGGCTGGGGACGGGCTTAGAGGGACACCGATGAAAGGTGGCGTGAGGTTGTGGCAAGATGTAGGGAAAGCCCTCGCCGACCCACTCTGACTCGTCTTGCGCTTCTCCCTCTCCAGGCTGGGCTGCAGCTTCTCCTGCTATGATGCCTGGCCAGATACCAGACCCTTCCGTGACTGCCGGCTCTCTGCCAGGTCTCGGCCCCCTGACCGGACTCCCCAGCTCGGCCCTGACTGCAGAGGAGCTGAAGTACGCCGACATCCGCAACATTGGGGCCATGATCGCCCCCTTGCACTTCCTGGAGGTGAAACTGGGCAAGAGGCCCCAACCTGTGAAAAGTGAGGTGAGTGAGCCTTGCTCCCCTGGGCAGAATCCCAGGGCGGCAGTGCCAGCCAGGTATGGCCTTATGAGACCTGTTCCGTGCACACCAGTAGTGTCAGAGTCATCCTGGGGTTTGCTAGAAATGCAGAGCGGGGCGCCACCCCCGCCTTCTGAATCAGTATGCATTTTAACAAAACTTCCCCTGGGAATGGCCTTTTGAGACGTGTGAGGAGCCCCTGGTTAGAGCAGGATGCTGAGCCTGTCTCTGGTTCTCTGGGTGGGGGTGGGGGTGTAAGGGAAGAATGGTTAAGAATAACAATTAGGAATAATAATATTTTGCCTAGTCCTCTGGGAGGTACCGGGGGATCATAGAAGGTACAAGAGAATGCCAATATGGATTATCTTAAAAACTATCATCACATCATTGTCTCTACCTCTCTTGGCCCCAGGCCGGAGCAGAATAGGGGGGCTGGGAGTCAGGGAGGTGTGACCTTCTTCCTAAGCAGCTGCCAGAGGTGGGCATGTCTCAGTCACCCCTCTCTGCCTTGATGTTTGCATCTTCGGGGTGATGTTTGCAGAGAACCTCCACACGGAGCACCCCCTCTTCTGGTCCCCTTGCAGCTGTAGCTCTCAAGCTTGCAGCTTACAGAACAGCTTTTCCCTGGGGACTCTGAGAAGCAGAAGTCCCCAGCATGGGTGAGCCTCAGCCACTTTCTCAGGGCTGGTGATCTGTCCAAAGGCCTGTCCCAGCGAGGGCCCCCTCAGGCCATTGCTCAGCTGCCTGCCCACCTGCAAGAGAGAAGGAGCTAGGGTGGGAGCTGGGCAGGTGTGGGGTGGGGTGGACCTGAGGGCTGGGGGATGCATGAAGCAGCTGAGCAGAAGGTGCTCAGGGCATCACTGGCCAAGTTTCCCTGGGTGGGAATGGACCAGAGAGTCCAGAGAGAGGGACGCTCGGCTGGAGAAAAGTGTGTGGGTATTGACAGGACACGGTTGGGGGTATCTGCAGTGCCTGCTCTCTGCCCCCCCATCTCCCTAGTAAGCACCATAAAAAACGGCAAAGGAAGATTGCTGAGGGCTTGGCCAGGGGTGGCAAAAGGTCCTCTGAGGACCAGATCTAGCTTTCAGATATACTTTGGCCTACACAGTGTTTTAAAGAACGTTGAACCAACATTTCTCTTGAAAAAATGGGTTTTAATCTCTGATTTAAAAATAGGCAGATATGATGACACGGCGCTCTGCTCAGGGTCTCGGCTGGAAGGGACGGCGTCATTTCACCGCTCTCCTCTCTCCACTCTGCCCCTGGCCCCCACACCGCCCTAGTATCAATTTGGCTTGTCCTGTTGGTTTGTGCTTTCGTGGCTACCAGCTGCCTTCATTTGCCTTAAGCGCCTGGCCCCTGCGGGAGGCACCTGCCCCTGAGACGCCGGAACGAGGTGCGGAGCAGGTGTCTGCTCACGACTGTTGATTACAGGCGGGCGCTGGCTTTAATTCTTCTGAAATGACTTTGTAAGGCAAGGTGGAGGACTTCTGATTTATGTCTTTTGCTCTTCACCTCCCAGGCCTGTAGCTTCACTGAGGCCATTTGTGGGCTGTTGTTCCAAATCACTGCCATTTAGAGCCAGGAGCTGATAAGTTATCCTGGGGCACTGAGGCCGCGGCATTGCTGCAGCCAGGTGCTTTGGTTAGGGGCTGGCCCAATAGGCATTTGACTGTGGAAAGTGGGGGGCCAAGGGCTGCCACTTCTTACCACCCCACAAAGATGCTGGAGGAGCTTTCTTTTCGTAAAGAGCTTTATATTAGGGTTGGGTATTTTTACATCTCACAGCCTCCCCCAAATTGGTGGCAGATGCCCTGTACCTGACAGTGACGTGCCGTCCTCACAGGCACCCACAAGCACGCACCATCCAGGCCGTGAAAATAACAAGCCGTTTTTAGGGCGGATTTGCATGTCCTCTCCCTTGCCGTCAGACTGCAGTGTTGTGGGGGCGAAGAAGCAGATGGAGCAGTGAAGATCGTGCTGGTGGGGAGTCAGGTCAGCCTTGCACTGGGGCCTGCACCTCCACATGCTTCTTCGATCCAGGGGCGTGCGTGAGTGGGGGTCAGCCAGTTCTTGGGGTGGCTGAAAAACAAAGGGGACAGGGAGACAGCATTGCTGCTAGAGTAACTTATGTCCTAGTGAGGATTCTGCCTGTGGCAAATGGCTCTTAGAGGATTTTCACGGTGACACTTTAGACTAGTAAAAGGTTCTTGACCACTAAGGCTCTAGCTTACATTTATTAAGCATCTACTAGGCACCAGGCCCCGTGCTACCTGGTGATGGATTCTCCCCATTTTAAAGATGAGGACTGTCAGGTTCAGGGAGGAGGAGGTCTCGTCACTCAGGGTGACAGCATGCAATGTGGCAGGGCTGGGGACTGCATTCGTAGTGTGTCTGAACTTGCATGAGGTCTCTATGAAGTGATTGTGGCTTCTCTTGCTGCTCCTGTGCCCACATTACCGATGAGGTGTGCCACTCTTAGGGTCTAATACCTGGGAGCGAGCCCGCAGTCTGACTTTAGAAGCAAAGCTTTAGCCTGATGCTATGCCATCCCCATGAACCTTCCAGGAGTCTCATCAGAGTTCCTAGGACTGGGAGGCCAAATGAACCTGTTGCCAGGACACTCATTCATTTTGATGACGGGGCCATTTACGCTGAGCTCTGTAGCTCTGCAGCCTCATCATCTCCGGGGTCCCCCGAGAGAGCTGGCCTGGCTGCTGTGCAGGCTGCTCTGTTCGAGCTGGCTCTTGGGCTGCTCCCCTTGCCAAGCCCGGCAGACTCCTGAGACATGTCCTAGTGAATGGAGCAGTTTGGTAAGAGAAAATTAGCGGAATTAAATGGAATTAAGTTAAACGGCAGGTTTTGTAAATGCCATGTAAGGTGCTTTGTGCTGATACTATATGGGTGGTACAAATGTGAAACTGTTTTGGTGCCGACGGCAGGCCCGCGGTCTGTTTGTCCAGCAGATATTTGCTAAGCACCTACTATGCGCCAAGTCCTGTGCCAGACTCTGGAAACCGAGTCATGAACGAAGTTGGCCAAGCACAGGAGCGTCCAGAAATAAGCAAATCCATAGACATTGTGAAAGTTCAGGCTGTGGTCAGTGCTGTGAAGAAAGATTAAGCAGCCCACGTGGTTGGAGACTGGCCAGGCTGCTCATTTTGACGGTCAGCTAGGGAATCTGGGCAAGTCATATTCTGGTTGTGGGATTTTTAAGAGTCATTGCTTCTTCTTGCCCCTTTGTTCTTCTTTCCTTTCTGATATTCTTTTTCAAAACAGCTCTGCTCGCTGGCTTTCTCCAGAGCTGTCCACCCTTTGCTTTTCATTCCACAGCCGCTTATGGCTGAGCTCAACCAACCTGTCCCTATTGGTCTGAAGAGCGTGGCCCTTCCAGATGGACTGGAGAGGGCTGCTTGTGACCACAGGGGCCACACCCTGCCTCTGGGCCTGGAGTGTGTTTCCAGTAGGGAGGCCAGAGCCTCTCCCGTGCACACTCATACATGCACACACCAAGCAATAAATCTGCTAGGTGGAATCCTTCCCCCTCTGTGCCCTTTCGTATCACTCTAGAGGGGACTCAAGGATTCAGGGCTGCATGTTGCCTTCGCTTTGGGAAAGGAGTTGCAAATTTCCTGGGCTGGAGTCAGCCTGTGGATGAGTCTAAAAAACTCAGTGTGGTTTTTTTGTCTCTTGAATTGGATGAGTTGCTCTATTTAAAAGCCAGAAAATGTGGACTTCTTTAAAAAAACAAAAACAAAAACAGAGGATCTGACCATTCTAGACCCACGCCCTTATATACAAGACGCTGGGACTGAGTTCTAGATGCTCGCTGGATTAGCATGCAGTCTTTAGTTTACCACAGACCTCACTACTCCCTGTTGCCTTCCACCATCCCCCTGCACACATCTGTGTCACCAGCCAGCTTCTGAGCTTGTATCCTGTTTTAGGTTTCAAAGACATTTGTTTTTGCCAGACTGTGCTCAGGGCCTCACATAGGTTCTGTGTTGGATGCCCGTGTGTTGGTTTGGACATTAATTAGCTATATCAACTCGGCCAGTCACTTGAACTTTCTGTCCCTTCAGTTTTGTGGCTCTCAGTTCTTAGCCTCTCAGTCTTGTCCATTTGTCTTACTTTTTTCCCTGAACTTAGCAACCTCAAGCAGAAAAAAAAGAGAGCACAATGAAAATCAGATCAACCATTCCCAAACTTGACTGATATCAGACCTGCTTGGAAAGCTTCTGATAAACATGGATTTCCAGACTGCACCTGGGTCCATGAAATCAGAATCTGACAAGAGATTTCAAGGAACCTGTATTTTTTAACAGGCTCAGAGATGACTTGGCTGCATTCGAGACCCTGGTTCTAAACGTTCCTACCCCTCCTCAGGCTCTTCTGATCCTTGTCAGGGAACATTCCAAGGGTGTCACCTTGAGAAATCAGTGCATGCATTCCGGTGTGGACCGCCTCGCCTTTCCAGCATGGTTCTGTTTCCTGCACAGATTCCACGAGGCGACTGGGTCACATCCTGGTCGTCTTTAGGGCAGGAGACACAACTTCTCTGTTGGTACATTTCACCTCCATCCTGTCCTAGGGACGCTGGAGAGCATTTAGAAGGACTGAAGCGTGAATTCAAATCTGTGGACTATAGAGGGATGTTAGGACGCATGTGCTTTCAGCCACAGGTGGTCTTTCTAGAGTTTGTTCACAAAAAATAAAAACCCAACAAAATACCCACCAAATGTTCTTCTGTGTTTAGTCTGAGCACAAAAAGTTGCCCCAAACCAACTGATGTGCTGGGTAAATGTTGGCATAAACTCGCTTGTGTTTTTAGTGATTTAAAATATAAAGGCAGCCCACTGGCATTTTTTAGCAAGCCTTGCATAATTGGTTTTTAATTTGTGGCTCTTTGGAATAGCATTGGCCTCCTTCCTCCTGACTCAGAGGCTTTTTCTGTCTCATCCCTGTTTGGCAGACAGATCCGATCT